AAACTGGTTACACACTGGGTACAGACTGGTTACTCTAAACTGGTTACGCACTGGGTACAGACTGGTTACTCTAAACTGGTTACAGGCTGAAGATGCCTGAGTCCATCATGTCTCCGTGGACAGAGTTTCAGTCATTTCTTGGGTACCATTCTTTTTGTCAAGGCCAGTTTTTCTTAGTTCTTTTCTTGGACGTAGAACAAAATTTCAACGATTTGATTGTTTTTTGTTATTTTATACACTGGTTGCAGACTGTTGTATGTCCGTCCATACACTTTCTTTTGTCCTTCCAATTACTTCTGCTCTGCTCAAGATATTTTATTGACACTTCATAAACACATGTATCATCACTAGATGGAGCCTTTCATACAGTTTTCATCACCTCAGCTCCAAGCTCAAAGCCACAAAGCAATCAGTAAGTATGGGGGGTGGTGGCGCAGAGGTTACAGAAGGTGGGCCTGTGATAGGAAGATCACCGGTTCAACTCCCCAGACCGATGACATAAAATGTGGGTGGGAAGAACGGTGAAACTCCCTCACCTGCCTTCACCTTCATTTGCCCCACTCTGGACCCTTGAGCAAGGCCCTTAACCCCCACCATCTGCTCCCCCAGACGTGCTACATAGCAGCTCTCTGCTCCACACAGAGGCTGTGGTAGCTCGGTGCTCTGTGGATGTGTCAAAGGACATCTGCTGTAAAAACAACTGCCAAGTCTTCGTGCGAGTTAGTTCACTGTGGCGACCCCTGAAGAAGGAGCAGCTGAAAGAAGAAGAAGAAGAGCACAAGTAAACATTTAGTATGAAACATCTGTTCCACATGCAGGCAGACCACAGACTTGAACGCAGCACGGGCCAGAACAGCAGACCACCGTTGGGTCCCCCTAAAGCTGGACGTCATTAGAAGTTGCACTGCGCCGCAGCAGCTTGCTCGGATATCCGGGTCAGTACCAGCACCAACAAGACAACGGACGTAGTGCACGAGTAAAACATAAAAACTCCTCCATGACTGAAGACTGGGCGACACGAGGAAGTTTGACCCAAAACAAGACCTCATGTTCAGAAACTGGATCTGAAGGGTCTGATGGCACTCGGACTAGAATCTTTGAAAAACTGTCAAACATCGTTTTGGGTGTACTAATGGTGGGGGGGGGGGG